TATATATATATATATATATATATATATAAAGACGTGTACACACACTGTATGTACATGGGCCTCTACGTGGGGGCTGCAGCATGATGGGTTACGTGTGGGGTGACTTTTATTGACTTAATCTGCAAGCCACAGTCATAGCAGTGCAATGTAGTCTGCGTTATGGTTATGGTTATTAAAAAATATCCCCTGAGCTTCTTGTGTGAGTATTGAAAATGAAATGGAAAGACAGGTGTGCTGTGCGTGTTGTTCAGAAACTTGGTTGGCAAGAACACCATCAGTTTACACATTTCTTCCCTTTGGCTCATAAACCAAAAGTTGAGTGTTTTTTAACATCAACTGGTGTTTGTTTGTTTTTGTCAACCAGACAGTGAGCTAATGTTAAACCTCAAGTGAAGCAGTGCATATAATGATTTGTATGGTGTGTTATTATGCTCTTGTTTTACAGTACTTTACCCATACAGGCATATTTTGGGCCTATGGCAGCCTGACATTGGCCCTTATGGTGGATTGCTCAATGTTGTGGTAGGTAGTTTTCCTCTTTTGCACAAAACTGCTACATATAGTAAATATTGGTATAAAGGAACATATAATTTAGGTAGTGCAGGTAAATTCTTCAAAATATGTTTCATTCAGGTGGACGGGTTGTTCATCATTGGCTGGATGTATTTGCCACCTCACGACCCTCGCGTGGAGGACCCCATGAGAAGGCGCCCACTCTTCCAGATCCACATGATGGAGAGCAACAAGGCCACTGTGGAGTGCATGTATGGACACAAAGGTCCTCACAAAGGAGACATACAGGTAAGGGTTTACACATTTGAAAAAGCGGAGTGATACTGTCTTTTTTGACACAAATAGATGATGTTAGTTTGAGTTTAATATCTTATCAAAGTATGTAATTCTCTTATATGTCTTATATTCTGTTATATATAGACAGTAAAGAAGGATGAATTTTCAACAAAGTGTAACCAGACTGACCATCACCGCATGCCAGGAGGCAGACAGGAGGTGGGTCAAATACCTTTACTACCTTTACAGTGTATGCTATCTTTTAAAGCCCATGCATGCTGATGATGGTGAAATTCAGGGACTGTTATCAACTTTTTACAATGTGTGTGTCTGTGCAGGAGTTCAGGACATGGTTGGAGGAAGAATGGGGGAGGACACTGGAAGAAATATTTCATGAGCACATGCAGGAGCTTATCCTAATGAAGTTCATTTATACTAGTCAATATGAGTATGCATTTTTTGTATTTATTTTTTGCTTACGTGCATTTTCTCTGTTGTACTTCCATGTTAAAATGATAATGATTGTAATATGCCTAAATAAACCTGTATGCTTTCATCTATTTTCCTATGACAGTAACTGCTTGACATACCGAAGGATCTACCTGCCACCTGCAAAGCCCTCTGACCTGCTGCAGCCAGGCCTTTTCAAAGGCACCTATGGTAGTCATGGCTTGGAGATTGTCATGCTTAGTTTCCATGGAATGTCTGCAAGAGCAACCAAACTCACTGTAAGTAATAATCATTATTAGTGGTTGTACTCATTTTAAATGAAAGTGATTCTTAAATGTGGGCCCTGCAGCTTAAAATCCCTCAATCTGTTCATGCATTCTTAGAGGAGCAACAAGATATAACATGTTACATTGTGTCTTTTATCTCTTTAATTAAAACTAAGCCAAAATTCTGGAAGTGTGTGAAAAATTAAGTGCACACTTAATGCTTTTGTAGCAACTAAGACGGTAAGTAGTAACCACGTGCTGCTAATTAAAAGCACTTGATTAACTGATCACCAGTGAGTGTGAGCAGCAATCTGCAAAGTAAAATAAGCCATTTCCAAACAATTTCAAGTCCATCATTCTACAATAAGAGAGATCATTCAGAAGTTGAAGACAACAAATCTTTGCAGGAGTCGACATCCTAGCAAATTTACCCTAAGATCAGACCCTGCAGTACTTGCAAGTAAAAATTGCAAGAAACCCAAGAGCTACATCTCAGACTCTGCATGCTTTAGTTAGCATGTTAAATGTTAAAATTCATTACAGCACAACTAGAAAATGACTTAACAAGTATGGCTCTGATTCTAATTCTGATTCTGATGGCATATTTGCAAGGGGTGACAGGAGAATGCCTCTTCTCTCTAAAAAGAACATGTCAGCACAGCTTAGGTCTCCAAAGTATAATTTGAACAAACCACAAGACTTCTGCAACAGTGGGCCTCACTTACTTATATTTGTGTGGAAATGTTTTTGCCATACGCAAAAAATACTTTCACTCTCAAAAGTTCTCACCCTCACCCTCACCTAGGGTCATGAACGTCGGTTAGTGACTGAAAGGATATGAACAGCGGAAATGAGTTTCCTCCGAACAGTGGCTGTGCTTTTCCTTAGTGATAGTATTTTGTTTTCTTTACATCCCTTTTTTGTAATTCTGAGCACTTTGTGTCCAACCAAAAGCCAATATTAATAATAACTATAAGTGTTATTGTTATTATTAGTATCACTAGTAGTAGTGTGCATTTTAAAGACCTTTGTTTAAATTCCTTAGGTGCAGTGCATGGTCAGAGGGACTTCTAAATTTATTCCTAAAGTACCAACAAATTCAGGCACAAAAATTTTCTAAAATCACAGATTTGTGCCTGAAACATTCGTGTGCACAATTTACACACAGATTTGTGTATGCACACTGTAGTAAATGAGGCCCAATACCCTGTTTGGCCATAATGCACAGCACCAGTTTCAGCAAACACATTCAGCATATCCAGGGTATGAGTTGTCATACATAAGTCATACAGAAACAGTTACTTGAAGTTAATGCTGCTAACATTGGTTTCTGTTGAATCTAGTGTACACTTATTTTTTCACACGCCACTTCTGTATTTTTGTTAAATAAATAAGATGCTGTGTAATGGTATCATGTGGTATTGTTAATCTGAGATAGTCTTTAAATAACATTCAGACCTGGTTAAGACTTGGTGTTTTTTTTTTTGTTTATATATCTATATTATGGCTAAAGCACTTCTGGATGGATGCAAACTGCATTTCATTGCCTTGTACCTCTGACATGTGCAATGACAATAAAGTTGAATTCTATTCTATTCTATTGTTTCCCAATTATGTTGTGATACATAAAACCTTAGAACTGAAAATGGGTTTTTCTTTTTCAAGACTGTGGATTTAAATTGCATGTAAATCTACTCATGGTGCATACTCTGATTTTATGGTTTCCTGCAGGGAGATCCCAATGTTCCTGCAGGGCAGCTCACACTGGATGTTAACCTGTGTCGGCCTGTGGTCCTCCCAGACTTGGAGCAACAGTGTAACATTGAGGAGCTGTCACGGCTAGTAATGGGAGTGCATGAGGAAGTACAGAGGGAGCAGGAACAAAAGGAAAATGGCACTTCTGCCACAGGTAGATGTGCAGCTGAAGGGGCCTGTGGTGGTTCCAGCGCAGCAGAGGAGATGGAGTCAGATCACGGTGCTTGTTCAGACAGCTGTGACTCTAGTCACAGTAGCAGATCCAATCCTGAAACACAGCCTTTTGTCTTGCCTATGGGGGTCATGGCTCGCAACGAGGAGTACCCTCGCACCTGCAGAAAATGGTGAGGATTTGGCTAACAGGCTTTTGTTACAGAATTCAAAATATTTTGAAAGGCATTTACCATAAAGGGCAATGATATTAAGTAATGGTCACAATTAATTCATCAATGAAGGAAAATACTGGTCTTCACTATTGTCTCCAAAAAGTTCATTCTGTTCATCTGGACATAGCATTTTGTGGGAGAAACGTTTCGTCACTCATCCAAGTGACTTCTTCAGTCGAGACTGAACGCTACGTCCACAAAACGCTACGTCCAGATGAACAGAATCAACTTTTTGGAGATTTACTTTCTTGGATGATTGAGAATGCATCAAGACGTCTTCACTATTGCTTTTAATATCCTGTGCATAGTGTACGTTTATGAACCAGTCAATATATGTAACAAAATGTATTAATCGATGAGGACATGTATTTCTCTTTCAGCTTCTATGGGACAGGCCTGATTGCTGGGCATGGCTTTACAAGTCCAGAGCGCACCCCGGGGCTCTTTGTGCTGTTTGATAAGGACCGGTTTGGTTTCATCTGGCTGGAGTTGAAGTCTTTCAGTCTGTACAGTCGCCTGACGGACAACTTACCTCACGCTCATGCCCCCGACTTGGAGCGATTTGAGGCCATGCTGCGCAACATGCAGTCCTGGACATCCTGATGCACCAAGCTTTAAGTCTCCTCCCACAGTAATAGCCATCATAACAACCATTCTACACAATTACACCTCTGTCTTCTGCTGGCAACGATACTATCATGATTAACTTAAGAGTTTGAAAGGCATTAGGTGTTACCATCTAACTTTAGCTTGTTCCAATCCAAACTCTTTGAAAGGCTGCCCGTGTCACTGTTTGTCTTCACCTAACGTATGACCTTAATCCTCCAGTGCAGCATGATAACAGGTCACAAATTGATTTATTCACTGTAGGACAAAAAAAACAACAACAAAGGAATGACACCATTTATTATAGATCAAACTGTATGTGCCTCTGATTCTAAATCCATGTCTGTACTTGGCAGTGCTTGAAGAAGACAAAGGTGTCCAATGTATTCTACTATATAATATAGTATTATACTGAGTTCAGTGCCCAACATATTAAACTGCATGCTGCATTTATTTACACTCATAACCACTATCTGAACCTGTTTTGTTTTCAATAAAGCAGCATGCCTTTTTCCCCCCCTCAGTTTTTTCCTTTAGAGACATCCAGACTTTAGAAAAGACAGCATCTCAGGTGTTTCTCTTTGCCCGACATTAGTGATACAAGGACAGACGAGTATTAAGTACAACAAACGTGTTTTAAGTTTCATTCATTGTATGGTGTCAAATAGAATTGCTGAATAGGTTTTACAAGCGGGCAATTTTCTAACTGTTCACCCGCCGTCTTATCAAACACGGTACTTACATCAACCAGCGTTGGTCAGACGTTTATGTCCTTCAGCAACATCAGACATGCTTACTATCACCACACCTGAATTATTATGTAAGATGGAAAAAGGAATTGTAATGTGACAACGATAACAGATACATAATCTGGATTTATTCAAAGTATCAGCGTTAGACAGTTTATGCTTCTGTAACTATGGTATGAAACTGAAGCTTCACTTACCTTTGAAATGTATTGAGTTTGTTTAATGGCTGACACAGTGTTTGCCTGGCTTTATACCTGCAAAGTTATTCCCTACAGGTTTCCCAGTTGTTTTAAATTCTAGACCTTGTAGCTGAACATTATACGATCTAACAGCGCAGTACCAAGTAAGTGTCTGTATGTCTCATTATGGCCTGATGGTGATGCCCAGTAGCTTTCCTACTCCAAGTGCACTTTTCTGGGCAATATATTGAATCATTTGAAAACCACTGGCCAGCACTTTTATATCAGACTGCAGCTTTACTAATATTTGCAAAAAATAGATATCTGCTAAAGCGTTGTTGTGTTTCCTTTTTGTCCCTCCATTAAATTCCATCTCAACTTTAGTGAATTTGTTTGATAAGTTATTTTCTCTGTAACCCAGCTGTTTGAATAATTTGCCTTTTAAAAGTGTTGCTTTGTACTATTTTAAATGCCATATGCCTGAATTTGTGGAAAACTAAGTTTGACCTATTGAACTGCTCACATCAGACTTCAGGGAGCTTTTCAGCTTAAGCGCTCTTCTCAGTAATGAATAAACAAAAGAGGAAAAAAAAAAAGAAAAAAGAACCAGGTTGTCACATCTGTTTATTTCACACCGTTTTGCATGTGTATGGTCATCTACTCTCACCCCCAGCCGATCCAGCAAATAGTCACCCCTGCCTGAGCCATTGTTCTGCCAGAAGTTTCTTCCTGTTACAAGGGATTTTCCTTTCCACTGTCACCAAAGTGCTTGCTCATAAGGCGATCATCTGGCTATCTGATTATTCTGAGGCATTTACTTGAGAAAACTGTTGTTCTGATTTGGTGCTATGAAAATGAATTTAATGAAAACACTTTAAACCCCACTTACAAGCAGCAGAACTGAATCGCACATCTACTATTAACCATAGTTTACTGGCTAGTATGAGTTGTGTGAATGTAGAATGGAAAGGCAGGCAATTAAGTCATAAGTGATTAATTTATGTATTTTATTATTTGGTAATGATTTCAAAAACTGACGTAACAGAAGAGATGCGAGTTTTCTACAGCTCGCTGCGTTTTGCATTTTCCTCATGCCGTTTGAGCTTCTCTGGCACGGTCTGAGTCAGGAAGACAAAGCGCTCCTTCTTCAGGTGCTGAGCAGTTACCTGCGTTGTTAAACCAATCGCCAGGTACTTTTCATCTGCTTCATACTTTGGCCAGTGGACAAGGTCGTGCCCATTAGGAGACCTACACGCAGACAGATATACACGATATAACAATGTGGTATTATCTCCCAGTATACTTAAATATGTAAGCTTACCCTGTGCGAGCAAAGTTGCCCCAGTAGCTCATCATGGTTCTGCTCAACTGTTCCTCCTCCACAAAGCATGGATCTAAAGTGATAATCTTGTAAAAAATCCTGCACTCCAACCCCAGAAAACCCCAAAAGCTAACAACCCAAATATCTCATGCTCAGATTAAACTTTTTAGGTTTCACTCACGAGGCAGTTTAACGTGGGTAGTTGTGAAGCAAAATCCCATCACTGTAAAAATTTCATCTGTATGATCACTCCCAACAAAGCTCGGTCTTCTTTTCTGCACCATTTTCAAGGAATGCTGGTACTCATACAGGTATACAGGAGCACCCGCTTCTAGAATTAGACAAACAAGTGTCACACTTAGTAAGAGCGGTAAATATGAAATAATTGTTTCTAGATAAATGTGCATTAATCTATAAAAGTTACCTCTGTGCGCATTAGCAGTTTTAATGACTGGAATATTGAATATAATATCTGCAGTAACCTCAGAGAACCCATCTCGGTTTTTCACACGGTTGGCACCGTTTCCAATATATTCATCAATTATCAAATTTTTGATGAATGCATCTTTAGGCTTAAGGAAATAAAGAACACATCAGTGAAAGATGCTTGAGCAGGTTGGGTTCATTTTGTGATATCAGGCAGTGTGTGCTTTACATTGGGATAGAAGAAGGCCATTGCATTGATGACTTGTGCCCGATCCATTCCTTCTGCCCAATTTTGTGGAACACTAATGAATAACTAAAAGAAAGAATAAAAACCTTGCTGTACTTAACATTGCCGGTTTAAACAAAAATAAGATACCAAATTTTGATGGGCACTTACATTTTTTAGCATCCATCCCGCTTCATCATTATTCACACCCATCATGAATGGTACAGTGAGGAGTTCATGTTTACGAAACAGCTCATCCACAGGTTTAGTCAGGAAATGCCCATCAACATTTACAGGACATCTTAACCGTCGGTCCTTTTGAATAAAATGCACAAAAGTAAAAATTCCAATAGCGTAAAACAGTAAAAGATAAGTAAATAAGTAAAAATAGTTCCCTTGAGTTATTTGAGAGACATCATGAGACTGTTCAGCCAATCAGAAATCCACATCAGGTTTCCACCCAGTAATTTACCTTGGTAAAATCCACTATGGTATCAATATCAAGGCTTCTTATGCAATCAGCAAACGTCTTTGTGCTTTTAAGGCTGCAGCCAGATGCATTTGAAACCTCCTGGTGAAAAGATATCAATTTAGAAAAGCAAACCTGTTGCATTATTCTTACTGTTTTACAATGAAAAATGATTAACATCCCCCAGAATAACATAATAAACCTGTGCCTTTAGTAGAGGATAATTTTCCACAAGTAAATCCATAGCAGCTGTGCCGCTCTCAGCAATTGCATGATGAAACAGCCCATCAGACAGTGGTGACAGGAGCTGGTGATTCAAGTAACACATCACATATTAAAGGTTGGTTTCCACAGCAAAAGTTTATATAAAGTTCCTCTAACTGTAGATTCTTACCAGAAGAGACACGCTCACTCCACCAGCAGACTCTCCAAATATGGTAACTAATCCTGGGTCTCCTCCAAAGCTGTGAATGTGCTGCTGGATCCACCTGAGAGCTTCAATCTGATCGAGCAGGCCAAAGTTCCCCGAAATGTGCTCATCTCCGGTGCTGATAAAACAAAGAGTTGAATGGCATACTAAGCTAAATTTAGAGTTGGTGAAGGTGAGCAGTCTTTGAAAATGGAAAAGAACAGGACAACAGTATGTTCTAATTTGGTAACTTAAGTTTATTTACCTGAGAAAACCCAGAAGTCCTAAGCGATACTGGATCAGAACCACAACCACGTCCTGGTAAGCAGCCAGGGCAGATCCATCATATGTTGAAGCTGATCCTACTGTGAGGCCTCCACCATGGATCCAGACCATGACCTGGAAAAAAAAAAAAGAAGATAATATTTTTGATTCTTCATTCTTATTTTTCCTTCAAAGCAATTTTTGTGCCTGCTAAGCACACTGCATGAGTGTCAATTAATAAGTATTAAATTAATGTTTAAGATAAACAAAAAATATTTGGGTATAAAGGCAAACCCATTGCAACTGGCTCTAAAAAAGGGGGTGTTTTTTTGTCATATGAAAATCCTTAAAAGGAAACCAACTGTCACTGAAAATTTCTTCAGCAATGACCAGCAAGGCTCAAAACCTACAGCAAAAGGTTCTTACTGGGAGCTGGGCATCATCAGCTCTTTTAGCAGGAGTGTAAATGTTGAGGTAAAGGCAATCTTCAGAGATGTCTGGGATATCAGCCAACAAGAAACCGAGTTTATCAAGCAGTGCCAAAGCAAATCGCTCAGGTTGTATGCACCTGAAAAATAAAAACATTTAATAAATGCTGGATGTTTTTCAAACTGTGTTTTACAACAACTGAAGCACATGTTTCTTACATTGGTGGCTGTTTAGTGGCATATCTTACTCCTTCCCATCTTTCTGCAGGCTGAGGTGGAGCCAGTCTCAAGGAAGGGCCGAGGGGTGGTTTGGCAAATGGGACACCCAGGTAGGCATGGACGCCAGTCTCCTTCCCTTTCACACTCACATACTCACCTTTCAGGCTCCCGAGCCCCGTGTGGACTACAGGCGCTGTCAGGATATTAGAAATCAGTGAGAATCATAACATAAAGCTTCATGATTTATGAAATCTAATATTTCAGATTTCAAAAATACTTATAGTTGTAAAAAGCAGGGGGGGAAAAGAACTACTTATTTATTTGTAGCTTCCATCAAATTACAGTCACCCAGCTATGGGAAGATCAGTAATGAAATACTAGAGCCAGTTAATATAAACCATGTGTGTCCTTGATCCAGTTATGGACATACAGCTGGAGGTGCACGGTCCAGAGATAAACACAAGGGCACAGATGTCATTGTTCATAGAAGCGTTTCACTTTAACTTACCTCTCAGCTGTGTAGCAACACAGAGAAATAAAACGGACATTGAAAACCAGAAATTCAGCTTTGCATTGGACTTCATTGTGGTCTTGATACACATTACAACAATCGGCGACTTTGCAAAGACTAAGTGCCAGGAGAGGCAGTCCCTCCTCATGCAGATTCCTCCGCGTAACTTAAGACTTAATATAGCGTGCAGGGTGTCACGTGATTCCACCAATTTTAATCGACAGAAAAACAATCTCACTTCTTCCATTTAGAATGAGTTAAACGCGGAAATTGTTTTTACTACCTGGATAAATCTATGTTTGTTTTTTTTTGCGAGGGTGATCACTTTTCATAAAGGTATTTATGAGCAAAAAAAAAGGTCGACAGTATAGATCAGGGGTGGGCAATCTCAGTCCACGAGGGCCGGAGTCCCTGCAGGTTTTAGATCTCACCTTGGGTCAACACACCTGAATCACATGATCGTTACCAGGCCTCTGGAGAACTTCGGGACACGTTGAGGAGCTAATTTAGCCATTTAAATCAGCTGTGTTGGTTCGAGGACGCATCTAAAACCTGCAGGGACACCATGCCCACCCCTGGTATAGATGCAGTGGCGGTCCTAGCCTGCTTACCTGCATCTTTTGCTCGTTTCTCCTCCTCCTCTTCTTTTCTCTTTTTTCTAAACTGGGGACCTGATGGCTTTGAACTTTTCTTGTCCATCTTCCATTGCTTTTAATTTTGAACTCCAGTATGAACACAAATCCCCCAACCCGACGATCACCACAACATAACCAAACAGACCTACACCTCACAGATTCACTTTGTCTAAGGTGTATTTCTAGGATTTCGCACAACCCAGGATTCAAATCATGAATACATGATGGGCTTGGATTTACATCATTATGAATGAAATGTGCTCTATTTGGAAGCAGCCGGCCCCCTCCCCTTTCGACAGGTTGTGTGTGAGACTTTAAATGATCAAACTGTAAATTATAAATTTCAAATTGTTATTGATCCCTTTACCCCTAGTCCTAAAGTGTAGATTTATTTTCTTACTCTTCTTATATTTATTGTTTGTTTACTTGCACTGCTGTAACTGGAGCCTCGCCGTCTCGTCTCTCTATATACTAGACTGTATGTAGCGGAGACGACAATAAAGTTTACTTTGACTTCAGCAGCGAGCAGGCGCACCGAGGGCTCTCGTGCTCACTTTTCGCGTATAGAATTTCGAAAAAGCATCGATGCAAATTATAAGTCTGTATCATATTATTGTTGGTTATTAGATGCTGCTCCAGCCAGCCCGTATCAAAAACCGCAACTGTATAGATGAACAAACGCAAAAGCACGAATGTCA